AATATATGCAGACCACCAACAACTTCAACAACAAAATGAATCATTAACAAGTCAATCCTCTGATCTTTTGAAACAAGGGGATTCTCGTTGTTCTCAGTCTGGGATAGCTGTGTTGGCTGGGGATGATAACCTTATTTTTTTTAACATTTCTGGAAGATCTCTCAGGCTGGTCATGACTTCCCAACCTCCATCAGAAAAGCAATTAAAAATGGCCAGATGGCTTTTCCTTTTCAAGATCCATATGAACACATTCCACTGTTGTAGAAAACTCAAAGAAGGACCTTTTTCTGTTCCCTTTTCTTTCATTTGTACATGTTATTCTTCTCAAAGGCTGTGTCACCTTTTGCATATAAAAAAAATATATATGTAATAAGATGTTGTTTAGTCACGAAGTTGTGCCCTGTTCTTCACATCCTCCTGGACCATAGCACGCCAGGCTCCTCTGTCTTCCACTGTCTCCTGAATTTGCCCAAATTCATATTCATTGCCTCAAAGACACTATCTAACCATCTAACCTTTTGCAGTCCCCTCCTCCTTTTGCCTTCCATCTTTCCCAACATCAGGGTCTTTTCCAATGAGTCCTCTCTTCTCATTTGGTAGCCAAAGTATTTTGAGCTTCAGCTTCAATATCTGTCCTTCCAAAGAACAATTAGGATCTTGTGTAATGATAGAAGAGTTCAGATTTGTTGTATGTAGTATGTGAGTGAATCTGTGTGCATGTTCAAATTTAATTTAATTATATTTTTCTAAACCACGCGTCACAGGCTAGTGGACAGGAAACGTTTGAGGCTTTTGCCTCAACAGGTTTCAAAATATTTTAAACAAAAATGTGCAATGGAAGTAGTAGTATCATATATTATTTCATCTACAGTTTCTGAGTATATTTATAAATCAGTTTGGTATTAAATTGCTCCCATCTGATGGATAGTTGGTATCCGGCAGTCCAAAAAGGGACCCCTAAGACAATGGTGGCAAACTTATGGCACTCGTGCCAGAGGCGGTACTCAGAGCCCTCTCTGTGGGCACACACGCCATGCCCCGGAGATGGCAACCGTCCCTCTTCAACCAGCTGCCCACTAACTCGCTGAGGTCCCACATGGCCGGATGCATCCCAGCACCCATGCGCTCTCTGGCCTCTGTGTGCAGGGGCTGATGGTGTTAGGCAGCAGCCGCCCAGGCCCCTGCCTCACCTTGCCCTGTGACAATGGCACCCCCGTCCTGCCTTGCCTCACCCCGCAGGACGAGCCTCCTGCCCACCACTCCACCAGATCCAGGGGTCTCCACCTTCCAGAGACCCCTGGATCTCCCCCAACCAGCCTCCACAGGCATCCCTCTCCACGAGCAACATCGAGGTGATCACGCCCACCTTGGCCACACCCACCCAGCCTGCCATGATCACCATAGCCACGCCCACCCCAGTGGGCCACGCCCACCTGGCACCCGGCGATAAATAAGTAAGTTTGGGGTTGCAGTTTGGGCACTCGGTCTCTAAAAGGTTCGCCATCACTGCCCTAAGATATCTTACAAGTAAAGCATTCAAGCAACACTCAGGGAACTAAGGCAAAGTCTATTACTTCACCAAAATGGTGGATGGCACACATTACCAATTTATGGCAGGATAAGACCTAACATTTCATCATTTCTGTAGTTTCTCCAGCACATGCCATCAGAAGCCAATACTGATCAGCAAATGCTGGAAGTGGATGAAGGGCATGGAAGGATCTGTGTTTTTGTTCACTTCAAGGATTTAAAATGGCGACCATTTTAACTCAATCAAACTCTACCTGGTTCTTTTGTCGCCTTTTTCCAATTCACCTGATTGTTTTTTGAGTACTGCTATACCTCTCTGAATACTACTAACCAAATAGTTGTGCTTCGTAATAAATAAAGAGATGCCTCTCTGTATGTTCTCCACATAGCATTGGCTTACAATCATTTCACACACATTTTTAATTCTGCTGTTTCCAAGCTTTCTTAATTCTAGCAATTTCATTTTAGGTAGGAAAAATAATTTTCTTTCTCTTGCTGAGAAATGACTAAGAATCAGAAACTCTTCCTAATCTACTACAGTTCTATCTTCTGTCCAACCTGAACAGAAAATCACTTACCGTAGTTGTGTTCTTACAGTGACAGTATTCTCTGCTGAAAACCGGGTTAGATTTTAGTGGATGCTGCGTTAGAGAAAAATCTTTTTCTGCTTTCCTTGAAATGGCAGAAAGACTAGATTTAATTTGTCAAAGGATGTCATTCTGAAGCCCTTGTTTGCTTTCACAGAAATTAATATCCCAAACTGAAGGTAGAAAGGATGGAATGCCTGTGGCAATTTTGAAGGCAGTTCATTCCATGAAAGAGAAGTTTTGATTTTCACATCTCAACAGAACTTAATCTCCACATTCATTCTTCTCTTCCTCCACTTGGCTGGGCTTTGTTAAATTTAATTAGCCAGGGGCTGATTTATTAATCCTCAAAGCAGAACAACTTCTATTTGTCATTATATAATTGACATAATTTTTTTATCTTTACAAGCCTTTGCAGGGGATAATAGCCATTAAGTGATGTTATTCCCAGATGCCTTCACCATGAAAACTGAAACAACAGACATCCCTATCAGGAACATAAATACTTACCCACTTGTTCATTTACATTTCTGTTTAACTGTGTTTTTTTCTTTCTTTTTTAAAATGAGCCAAATTATTCTTCAAACTGTTTTAAATACAAACTGGATTAGATTTTTCAGAAAATACCCCTCTCTCTCTCTCTCTCTCTCTCTCCCCCTCCCTCCCTCCCTCCCCCCCTCTCTTTCTCTCTCCCTCTGCTGGTCCAGATTTTGCACCCTAGATATAATAGCCCAATGTTCTCTGTAAAGTTTTATATTTAATCCTCATCCTCATGATGCTAACCATGAATTTCCACACCATTTTGTAAACAGCTTTTAAATTATTCAGCAATCCTTTGGCAACTACTCTGGAATAAAATTATATTAAAAATCACAAACAGGTAGTTCTATAAACACCTCTTGTTTTCCTGCCCACCCACTTTACTGTGTCTCACAATGATGAAACTAATGGTTGGGTGTTAAATGCAAGCTAAGGTTTGCATGTCTGCTTCTCCTGAAATCATACAAGGCAGCCATTAAAAAAGAAGTGATATTACTACTCCTGCAAATTGAATAACAAACGGAATGCTTTAATCTGTTATGAAACCAGAAATGTACGTGTGTGCGTGTATTTAAAAATATAGATATATAGATAGAGATATATAGAGATATATCACAGACCGGTTCCCATTCTCTGCCAGAGCTCTGACATCAGAGATTTTAAGTTCTCTCTTTCTTTTCCATTAGCAGAGGAGATCCAGTCTATCCTGAAATGTCTGGAATGTGTTCTTAAGGCACACATTATAGGTAGTCCTCAACTTACAACAGTTTGCTTAGTGACTGAAGTTGCAACTGAAAAAAGTGACTTATGATCATTTTTCACACTTACGACCTTTGCAGCATCCCCTTGGTCACGTGATTTATATTCAGATGATTGACAACTGACTCATATTTTTGACAGTTGCAGTGTCCCAGGGTCATGTGATCACTTTTTGCAACCTTCTGTCAAGTAAAGTCAATGGGGAAACCAGATTCATTTAACAACTATGTTACTAATTTAACAACTACAGTGATTCACTTAACAAGCGTGGCAAGAAAAGTTGTAAAATGGGGCAAAACTCACTTAACTAATTTCTCCCTTAGCAGCATAAATGTTGGGCTCAATTGTGGTCATAAGTTGAGGGCTACCTGTATTTCACTTTAAATAACTTGCTGGTTTTACCCATTTTTTTAAAAAAAGATAGCAAAACCAATTCACTCAATCTTGCACTCACTTCTTACATAAACCTTAGCATAAATTGGAACATCTGTTTGAAATCTTTATTCACACTCCAAAAACGGAGGGTTATTTTCGTGAAGCATAATGAATGATTTGTGCCTTGATGGAATATACACCATTCGTTTGCTTGTTTGTTTTGAAAAATAAAACATGACGAGGGTTTTTTGGGGTGTTTGTGTGTGTGTGTGTGTGAAAGGTGTTTGACAGACTGAAGAAACGTGTGAATAGAAATTCTGAATTCTGAATCACTTCAGAGTTTCTCTCAGTAAAAAAAGATGCCTTGTGGAAAAACAGTTAAGCAGAGTGAAATGCCTCAGAACATGCTGAGCAGGAAATGTCTCATAAGTCAAGTGGCAAATTAAAGAACAAGACCTTGCTAAAAACAGACATAGGCTTATGAAATTAATGGAAACAAAATGGCATTGGAAGTCAAGGTAGATTTTTAAATTATACCTACTTGAGTTGAATGGCTGCTATTCCTTAAATGGGTACAAAATATGAATTTTGGAGTGAGACTTTTGTGTGTGTGTGTGAATTGTATTGTGCTGATCTCTGTTCAGCTCTTGCATAGTGAAATGAAAATATTCATGTATCTGGATTCTTGCATGATAAAGAGTCTAGCAGTGTTTTACCAATTGAAGGATGATTTTCTTAATAATAGAAGAAGGAAGGAAAAAAAATAAACTACTTATATCCCCATGAACAATGTTTGATCAAAGCATTATGAACTCCAATTTATATTGGGTTCATAATCAGAATATAAATTGCTACACAATTTTACATCAGAACTCAATCTTTTGCCCTTCGTATGAAGCTCTGACAATAATTGCAGACTCCACCCCATCATAGGTATTACAGTGTAATAAAAAAGTCAATTTAATACAGTCTGACAACATAATATTTTCTCAGAAAAGGCACAGGAACTAATTCCAAGAAAGCATGAATAGAACAATACATCACAGTTGCTTAGACTGGGCTTTCAGCTGCATTATTTGAGTTGTGATTCTGCACCTATTTTCCTGAAAGTAAAATTTATTGGATTCACCAGAGACTGGCTTTAGAGTAGATTTATGTTGTCTTGATGTTATTATATACTACTTCTAATTGTGTTTTCCTATCCTGCAGAAATAGATGAGAAGAGAATGAACAACAACTCCCAAGATGAAGTAAGTTAATTGCAATTTAAAAAATAAATTACTGTTGCATTGTCTGACAAATATTCAGAAAGTCTTAATTCTTTCTTTCTTATACTGCAGCAGAGATATTAATTCTTAAATTGTCTTTTGGGATATGCAGGGGGTAGAAAACACAGTCAGCTCAGTGACATTTATTAAGATTTATTAAGTAAAGTCAGCCTTCTGATCCTACAATATTTAATAATGATGACCTCTGAGTCCTTGCATGACTGTTTAGTTTGAATTTGGCTTAATTTGATCAATTTATTAAAGACTAGAACGGATGCCAGAAAAAATCTGCTCCATCTTTGCTTCTCTAGACTCAGAATAGATATTTGAATTGAGGTCAGGAATAGGCTCATTCTGACACTTATCCTACTCATAGGTTACCTATATTTGAGCTTTAAAAAACTAGACAGCCACCAGATGGCAGCAAAGATTTGGATTTTTCTGTATCTCTTTGCTGGCACCTAATGGTTATCTAGAAGCATGACTTCAAAATTAACTTGAAATTATGCATTTTTTTTGGGGGGGGGGAAATAGGATCTCAAATCAGTTAGATATGAAAAACATTTTCTAATCCCCGAAATGCTATATCCTTCCAATAATTATTAAAAAGATTTATTCCACATGATGCATATTTGCTGAAAATTAAATTGTAAAATATTTATTACTTTATTCTGTAAAAAAAACCTGGAAGCTGCAAAAATGCTGCTGGGACCTGTTCAATTTTCTAGCCACCTTGCCCTCTTTCCAGGATATTCCATGCTATTTCCTGTGTTTTCTTCCTCTGCCATTGTCAGTACTGTATGTGAAATGCTCATTGGACAGTTTTTGATGATATCCGTCTTTGCTTAATGTACTTCTTAAATTACAAATCTTCTGCCAAGATAATTAACATCTTCTTTTTGTGTATCATTGATGCTGTTTTAATTATACAAGGATTCATTCTTGCCTCTGAATTTTGATCTGAATTTTGAAAATTAAAGAAATTATAGAAAATAGAGGGAATCAAAAGAATTATCCAGAAAATATGTCATCCCTAAAATGGGTTTGTTACATCTTTCTGTCCTCTATATAGTATGTTCCAGACCAATTTAATTTTTATTGAAAATTGAAATAGGACAGTGTTGCTTTTAATAGCAAGAAACCTTATTGATTCTTTTTTCAAATTTAGGTACAAACATTTAAAAGCATTAAATAATGACAATCACCATCCCATCATACAATGTATATAATTAGCACTCTCTGACTGCATCCAATAATTTATTCATAAAAAGCATCTTTCCATCCATTAACATAAAATTTTATGAACCACTTTACATTTCATAGATCAGCTTATAGAGCTGCTGAATCTTCATTGATTGGAAGAAATATGCTCTAAATATACTTTGTGAATTCACAACAGCCCATACACAACTCTTTGGAATTGAGATATGGTGTTTTAAGTTGAGATTATTTAAAAAAATAATATGAGCATTTGTTATGTCAATGTAGACTTAATCATCCAGGCCAGAAGTATCTATAAGGTTGAATCAGAGCAACTGGACCAGAATTTGTTAATCTGAGATGTTTCATTGCTCATCCAAGTAATTTCATCAGTCAAAAAAAAAAATAGGCAGAGAGTCTATTATTATTGTTTATAATGAGCACATATTATTTCACATTGCTGAAATGCCATTAGCTGAATGCAGCAGTGGTTTTTTTTTTTTTGTTTGTTTATTATTATAGTTTGGCTGCTTTGGCTGCAACTCCAGGCAGCTTTAAAAATCTGATGCTAACCTCCAGATTTTGGGAACAAACCAAAAAAAAGGAGCAACACACCATAGACACCTTAGGATAAGTTAATCCATGATGGGATCTGATAAGTTGTGGCTCATGAAAGCCTATGTCCTTTAATAACATCTGTTAGCTGGAAAAGATACCACCAGTTTCCATCTGATTTTTTTTTTTACAATCTGAATATGTACTAAAATAAAAAGGAAGAATGGATGTTGCCTTCCCCTAAAATATTTATATCAATTTTGAAATTTCTTAAAGACAAATAAGGAATGGGTTATATTACTTCAAGCTACATGGCAGAAAATATTGCAGTGCCGGATCAAGAAGATGCTTCATAGGCAAACCAAGGAGGCCTCCTCAGTGCAATGATGTATGAGAAAGACCTTCAAAGAAGAGGCAAAAGAAATGAAAGAGGATGGTCAGAAAAGAGAGAGAGCATAGCTCACAACTGCATAATGGGTGGAGAAAAAGAGTCAGAGGAGACTTTTCCTACCTTCTCAAGCTATAAAGGGAGACAGTGAGAGATTTGTACTTTCAGACTTTCAAGATTTTGTTAATATAGTCTTACAATAAAGTAGAATTAGACTGCCTGATGATGTTTCTTCTTTTGATCTGCTCGGAAGTCTGACATGTCTGAAAATGCAAATCTCCTGCCATCTCCTTCACAGCCTCAAAAGCTAGGGAAGGTCCATCATGAGCTTCTTTAACCACCCATTATAGAGCTTTGGGCTGTGTTCTCTTTTATCTGACCATTCCCTAGACAGCAATTCCTTGATCTATCTCTCAAGGCTGTTCCCTTACACCATTACTCTCCATATGGACCTGTGGTGAGAAGAGAGCCTATAAGGCCCCTCCTGTAGTCTGGTGTGTGATACTTTGTTTAGTTCTTGATTGCACTAAAAGGTCATTCTTTTTATTGACAGTCACAGAATGTCTCCCCTAAACAGAGGAAGCAGAGTGTCTATGCTGCACCTGCCATGAAAGGTACTGTTGAGGTACTGTTTCTTCTTATGCAAATGCCTCTTGAGTGATCACTTGCTGAATATGGCATGTCACCATCTCTCTCTCTACTGCTCTGTCATTACTGGAGAACTTAGTGATCCCATGGAGGGAAAAGAGGTGCCTGCTTACAATGCTGTTCTTTGAAGATGAAATTGAGAGGAAGTCTAGGGAGATTCTCAATCATCAAGGTCATGGTTGTCCAAAAGATGCTTTTCAAAAGATAACTAGACTTTCTTAGTTTTTTTCCCCCCTTAAAAGCATTCCACTTCTCATGCAAGAAGCTTCTTCAGTTCGGGGTGAACGGTGAGGAATGGAAGGATTTATATTCCTTAGTAGTCATCTAGTTGTTAGTACTCTGAAGTTTGGTCATTAGCTCCCTGAAAGTCCTTGAGGCCATTTGGGGGTTTGTCTGTACTCCATCGGTCTCCATTGGTTTAAAAGAGGGGTCAAAGAGGTCATCTATATTAGAATTGAACAGCCCTCTCTCCACAGAGGGGGAGAGACATGACACCACCTATCCCCTGTCTACAACACAGTCCTTTCAGCAAGCCCAAGAATGGAATAATAGAATAATAATTTTATTGTCATTTTGAATGTACACTAAAATGAAACATACATTAAAATGAAATTTCATTGCAGGTCCACACCTATTTGAACTCTGATTCAGGTGACCCTGAGAGTAGAGATAAACCCCCAAGTGGCCTTAATGACTATCAGAGAGCTAACCATTGACCTTCAGAATGCTAACAAACAGATGACTGCTAAGGAATATACATAAATCCTTCCATTTTCTATCATTCAACCAGAATTGAAGAAGCTTCTTGGATGAGAAGTGAAATGTTTTCAAGGAAAAAAACCAAGATAGTCCAGTTGCCCTTTGAAAAACACCTTTCGGATTGAAAGAAAGGGGATTCAGAAAGGCTGGTACCTCAAACCCAGGTCATAATCTTTTCCCTGGTATTTTACAGGTGAAGGATGGGCTCCTCCCTCATTCATTTCCAATTAATGTTCCTATCTATCTATCTATCTATCTATCTATCTATCTATCTATCTATCTATCTATCTATCTATCTATCTACCTACCTACCTACCTACCTACCTACCTATCTATCTATCTATCTATCTATCTATCTATCTATCTATCTATCTATCTATTTAGCTTATAGGGCTGGGTGGCTAGCAATCCATTAACAACAATCACAAATACTTTTTTTAAAATTAAAACCACAGCTCACACCCAGGATGTTATAGAAACCATATAACATCAAAGATGGGTTCTGCAATTCTGGCCTAACACATGGGGGGGGGGAGAGAGAGAGAACATGGTCTTCAGTACCCTTGTGAAAGCCTAGTTTCCTTAACTATAGACTCTTGACTCATTTCATACTGTATAGGGGCTGCCTGTAAGTATAAACTGGAAATACTAATATTTGCTGCTTTAATAGTCAGATATAACATAAATCTCCCAAGTAAAGACATGTGCACAAATCTAGTAAATTGAGCCCAAGATTTAACCACACAGGAGCAGAGGTGGATCTTTTCCTACTGATCCAAAGATTTTTGAGATTGACCAAACATTCTTGAGCACAGGAGTACTTGTTCCCATGCCAACTTCCCAGCTGGCATCTCCCATGCCAACTTCCCATTGGCCACTATGGCTAATGCTAATATTGTTCATGGAAGAACTGAGAAGCTGCCTTCAGTCCTCTTTCTCCAAGCTGAGCACACTCTCAGTCTGCTATAACAGTGTGCAAAGTAAGCTTTTGTATATGTCAGGGATTTTTTTTTTTTGCTAGATTTATATCCTCTAAAGACTTCAGAAACTACCCGGAAGCTATTCTCCAACTTTTCCTTTATAGCCCTGTGAGTTGTGTTGGGCAGAGAGAGGAAGACCCTCTATAATTTTCCATTCTGGTTAGAGACAGAATGAAGCTAGATCACCCCAAGCTTAGTCCAGTCCCTTAGCCACTTGGCCACACTGGCCAGGCTTGATTCACAAGACTATCTTAGTTATGTCGCTAGAATCTCCAAGGCATTTGAAAGAACTAGTTTTTGCCACCAATTTCAAAGCAAGGATCGGCATATTCCAAAGGTGCTTTTCCGAAAGGCAACTGGACTTTTTTTGCTTTTCCTTGAAGACATTTTGCTTCTAATCCAAGAAACCTCTTCAGTTCTGAAGAAGCTTCTTGGATGAGAAGCAAAATGTCTTCAAGGAAAAACAAAGGAAGTCCAGATGCCTTTTGAAAAAAAAAAAAAACACCTTTGGGACAACCATGACCTGGATGACTGAGAAACTTCATAGAAAAGGATCAGCATAATTTCAGAGTATTTGGGTGGGGGGAGGGGAGTATTAAGGGTGAGAAGAGTAAAAGTTTGCACACAAAGACTCCTATTTCAGTTCCCACAGTTCAGTTCCCAAATATAAACTGTTGATTGAAAAGGAGACCAGGGGGTTTGAGGTGATGGAATTGGTAGTGGGACGTCTTTGAAAGGTGTGTGGGTGTGGGGGGGGAAAGCCTTATAGGACTAATTTCAACCACATCATTACATTATCAGATGGCTCTTACATCACTCATAGGAAGTTTAAAGCATGAACTGCCTCCATTGCTTTAGAAATTGCCCATCTCAGATATAAAGAAACAAATTTCATTCATGTATTTGAACAGACCAGAAGAAGAAAAATAATCTTGATGCTATGCTATTTAAGAATAGCAACCAAGAGCTCTAATGTTCCTTGTACACATAACTTAGTACCACCTTTTATATTTCCTATTTTTTTAACTTTAAACACAATTTAAAAGAAGCATTCCGTCATGCTCATTTTTATTTTCAGTAAGATTCTTAGATTCCATATATACGTAGAGCTCCTTCAGAAAATAAACATGATTGGCTTCAGCTTGCATTTATGCCTGACCACCCATCCAGGAAAAAAAGAGAGAGAGAACTAAGAGAAACTAGGAAGTTGACAATGAGCTTCTGGGGATGAGGGTGCTACAACATCGAGACAGAGAAACCTCACTAGTTGTTTTTTGGCTTTGTGGCTGGCCATGATTATGCTGGTAGCCATAGCGTGAACCAGGAGAAGCCCTTAGTAGGACTTTCTTCAGAACCCACCAAGTTCTTAAGAGGTCAACATGTCCATTTGCTATATCAATCATACATTAGATGTTTTGTAATTTAGTATGTTATCTGTAGAAAAAGTCAGAGGCTTCAATCTGTATTTGGATAACTTGTTCTCTCTTAAGTCTTTGAGTGAATGTTTCTCAGTTGGATGCTGATCAGAGTGATAATGACTGTCTTACAGTATATCACCTAAGGCAGGAGTGTCAAACTGCTGGCCTGTGGGCTGGATGCAAAACCACGCCCACCCCATTGCCGGCAATGGAAAAAAAGTCATGATATGTCATGGCACGTCACGTGACATTGCAAGTTTGATACCCCTGACCTAAGGGGACCTCCATTTTTTAAGAATTTGAATTCAACCCTTGGGGCAGGCTGGTCTTGATCAGCAAGTTTTGATCTGTGCACCAAAATTAGCTAATGCATTCAAATAATTTTTGCTGTATGATAGATAGAATGCCCATGCAAGGCCAATGAATGTTCAATATCTTCAACATCTTCATACACGATTTAGATGAGGGAAAGAAGGGGAACTCATCAAATTTGCAGGGGGGAATAGCCAACACATTAGAAGATAGTCTCAAGATCCAGAAGGATCTTGACAGACTTGAACATTGGACCCTTCCGAACAAAATGCAACTCAGTGGTGAGAAAAGTTAGTTTTTTTTTTTACTTAGGCAAGACAAACCAAATTCACAGATATAGAATAGGTGATATGTGACTCAACAGCAGTAACTGTGAGGGGGATCTAAGATTCCTAGTGGACAACTACTAGGGTGCCACAACTGACAAAAAAGACAATGCAACAATAGAGGGATATCATCAAGATCACATGTAATGTCGGTGCCATTTTATACTGCTTTGGTAAGACCAGACTTGGAATACTGCATCCAGTTTTAGTTACCACAATAAAAAAAAATGTTGAGATCCTAGAAAGAGTGCAGACAAGTGCAGGTCTGGAAGCTAAAATATATGATGAACAGTTGCAGGAATTGGGCATATCTAGTCTGATGAAAAGAAGGATTAGGGGTGAACTATTTTATGGGCTGTCACAGAGAAGAGTTAGGTCAACCTATTCTCCAAAGAATCTGAGGGAAGGACAAGAAATAACAGATGGAAACTTACAAGAAGAGATTCAACTTAGAATTAAGGACAATTTTCCTGACAATTAGAACAATTAATCAGTGGAACAGCTTGCCTCCAGAAATTGTGGTTGCTTCCCAAATGGAGGTTTTTAAGAAGAGATTGAACAATCACTTGTCTGGAATGATATAGGGTCTCCTGTTTGAGCTGGTTGTTGGACTAGAAGATCTCCAATGTCCCTTCCAACTCTGTTATTCTGTATTCTGTAATGTTGAGCTGAATCTAATACAAATATTAAATCAATATGAGCATATTGTACACACACTCTTATCTCATTCACAGTTGTAAAAAATAATGTTTTAAGCAGAAAGGACAAATGGTGCCCTATTGTCTGGCCTACTAAGTTAGTATAAGAAACTATACTGTTGAACTATTAATGAAGCAACATAGCTAGTCTCTCTATATATAAGGCATAGAAATGTGGTTTTATTTTGTTTAGTTCTCTATGGCTGATTGGCTGACTGACTGACTGACTGATTGACTGACTGATTGATTGCCTAATGGATGTGATTGTCTGAAATTATAGATAGTTCTTTTGTGTATTGGAAATTGCAATAAGGCATGAATAACATGCCAAAGTATCTCACAAATTCATCTTTTCTCTCCTTCTCTCAAGTCCTTTTGATGTATTTTGTGTTTTTGCATGGTATCAGCAAATAGACCTTTAAGTGGGAAATGGCTTACTCTTTTATGCACACGTGCATTTTACTGGAATACAGCCCCTGGAAAA